GTTTAAAGAGCTGCAAGCACTTGCCATCATGTCTAGGTGAGCTTTCGGCTTTGCTTTTTCCCTCTTTTCCATGAGATTTATAGCTGTTTAACTATTCTATAGCCTATATGCAAGAACTTCAACATATCCTTAACCCAGAAGTTGTGAATGTAGAAAATTCGACGCTTGAATTTTGCCATCTTGTACAATTGTTACTTTTGTTTTCGGATATTGATGAGTAGTGTATGATTGTAAAACTTGACAGGGAGGATTTTGGTGATACACTTAGGATACTTGTTGCAACTGATTGCCATTTGGGATACATGGAGAAGGATGAAATAAGGCGGCATGATTCGTTCAAGGCTTTTGAAGAGATTTGTTCTATAGCAGAGGAGAAACAGGTCTGATATTTATTTTTTCCATTGCTAGTATTATCCTTGGCTTGGATCATCTGATGACTTATTATCTTAGATAAACCTTCTCCAAATCGTAGACTACTATACAATGTTTGCCTAATTGACGAAAAGAAGAAAAAAAATTCAAGAAAGATTTGTTTTTGATTTTTCACTCTCTTGAAACAGGTGGACTTCTTACTCCTTGGAGGTGATCTTTTTCACGAGAATAAACCCTCTAGAACCACGCTAGTTAAAGCCATTGAGATCCTTCGTCGCCACTGTCTTAATGATAAACCAGTGCAGTTTCAAGTGGTCAGCGACCAGACTGTAAATTTCCAAAATGCGTGAGACTCAACTCTTCTGCTATTTGTCTAATCATATCAGGGAACAGTATGAACTGAATTGGCACATTGACACGACATGTGTACACCTCGTTTTGTGAACGTGTGGATTAATCTTGCATTCATTAACATTGGTTTCTTGCTACAGGTTTGGTCATGTAAATTATGAGGATCCACACTTCAATGTAGGCTTGCCCGTGTTTAGTATTCATGGAAACCATGATGATCCAGCCGGAGTGGTACAAAACTTACATCTTCATGCTCTTGTTATGCAAACTCATTTGAATATGTATGGAACTGGATTATTTCGTGAACTTGAGTTTCTCCCTTCCTTAAGTATTTTATTGTTTTTTTCTTCTGTCGCATCTGGCAACAGGACAACCTATCTGCTATTGATATTCTCTCAGCATGCAACCTCGTGAATTATTTCGGAAAGATGGTTCTTGGTGGTTCAGGTGTAGGCCAGATTTCTCTCTTCCCTATTCTTATGAAGAAGGTTGGTCCAAAAAAATTTGTAATCTGGACACTTGGCTCCTCCTCATTTTGTGGGACTAACATTTAATCAAACTAATATCCAGGGTTCAACAACCGTGGCACTCTATGGTTTAGGAAACATCAGGGATGAACGTCTGAATCGGATGTTTCAGGTAATTCAGAGGATCCTTACCTTTTGCTATACAATTGTTTATTTTGTTAATCTTTATTGGTTTGACAGACCCCACATGCTGTCCAATGGATGAGGCCTGAAGTTCAAGAAGGATGTGACGTTTCTGACTGGTTCAACATTCTAGTGCTTCATCAAAATAGGTTGATCTCGTTGCAATACTATGTTTTAGATCATTTTCTTATTCTATCTATAGCAGAAAGTTTGTTAATCATATGGTATGACTTGCAGGGTAAAATCAAACCCTAAAAATGCAATAAGTGAACACTTTCTTCCTCGGTTCCTCGACTTCATCGTGTGGGGCCATGAGCATGAATGCCTTATCGACCCGCAGGTTCATTGAAATTTTGATTCTTGGAGTTATTGCATTTAAATAAGATTGAGGCACAATGTTCATTGTCTCTCTCAGCTAAAAGCTTTATAAATCTCTGTAGGAGGTATCTGGAATGGGTTTCCACATCACACAACCAGGATCTTCTGTGGCAACATCACTTATTGATGGAGAATCAAAGCCAAAGCATGTTCTTCTCTTAGAAATCAAGGTTTCATCTTCACTGTAATCGTACTGCTTAATCTACGCACTTCAAGTATGGCATTCTGCTCTTTTTTATTCAAGCATGTAAGCCTGAGTAACTTAAAATATATTACAGGGAAATCAATATCGTCCTACGAAGATACCTTTGACATCTGTGAGGCCTTTTGAGTATACAGAGGTAAAATTTATTTTCATTATATGTTATGGCGGTGGCATTCTTCTTTACTATATTTTTTAAAGTGCAGATTGTTTTAAAGGATGAAGGTGATATTGATCCCAATGATCAAAACTCAATTCTCGAACACTTGGATAAAGTGGTAACTACCCCCGTTATCTCGTACTTCATGTGGATATTTTTTTCTCCTGCCTCCTTTTTGAATTTGTTTAACAAGTCACTCAATGCCTCTAACAATATCGACAAAATTGTTAGGTCAGAGATCTAATAGAGAAAGCCAGCAAAAAAGCTATTAACAAATCAGATATCAAGCTCCCATTGGTTCGAATCAAGGTAATTTGGTTAAACCTTTATTTTCCAACACAATTTGTTATTTAAGAATATCAAATGACCAAAGAAAGACTGAGATCTGGTTCAATCTTTCAGGTAGATTACTCTGGATTTATGACGATAAATCCTCAAAGGTTTGGACAAAAATATGTTGGAAAGGTACCTAAAAATTAGTTACTGTAACATGATATTCACCATTCTTTCTTGAATATTGGGTAACACTTGTGAAAATTCTCAAAACACTTTCAGGTTGCTAATCCCCAGGACATTTTAATATTCTCCAAGGCTTCTAAGAAGGGTCGGAGCGAAGGTAGGGCAATTAAAGTAGCACACATGTTAATGCGTTCTTGTTTACTGTGATTTACTTATCATATTATATTTCGATCTTCCATTTCACAGCCAACATCGATGATTCTGAGCGGCTTCGTCCAGAAGAACTGAACCAGCAAAATATAGAAGCTTTAGTAGCTGAAAGCAACCTCGTACGTCCTGCAACTTTCTTTCCATATGACTGTGTTATTATCTTCAGCCCCTGTAGAACTGCACAGCAAAATGATATAGACTTGCATAGGTTACCAAATGGGCATGAATACACTATGGGATGATCACTCTATCCTCTTGTGCAGAAAATGGAGATCCTTCCAGTTAACGATCTGGATGTTGCTCTTCACAATTTTGTGAACAAGGATGATAAACTAGCTTTCTACTCATGCGTTCAGTACAATCTTCAAGAGACTCGTGTATGTACTAAGTTCTGTGTAAAATGTCATTTTTGTTACTGAACACGGCCTGATTATTGTTTTTTATGAATATTCTCTTACCCATTTTTTGCAGGGTAAACTTGCAAAGGATTCAGTTGCCGAGAAATTTGAGGAGGACGACTTGATTCTTAAAGTGGGAGAGTGCTTAGAGGCAAGAAGATTTTAATTCAGTTACTTTTTGTCGTAGATTTTGGGGAGGAATAGAATATCGATCTGAGTTGCATTATTGTTTGTGCAGGAACGCTTGAAAGAGAGGTCCACTCGACCCAGTGGTTCCTCACAGTTTTTGTCCACTGGATTGACATCAGAGGTTTATATTCTCCTTCTTAGAATCTCCTTGCAGTTTCTGATTTTTACCTTCACCTCTATCCTGCCGTTTCTTTCTCACAATGCTATTTTCAACCTGAGATTGATACAGAATTTGACGAAAGGAAGCAGTGGCATCGCGAATGCTTCGTTCAGTGATGATGAAGACACGACTCAGATCTCTGGTTCAGTGCCTGCCACTAGAGGACGGAGAGGTTCATCCACTGCTAATACATCCCGTGGTAGAGCTAAAGCCACAACCAGAGGAAGAGGCCGAGGTAAGGCCTCAAGTGCGATGAAGCAAACCACTCTTGATGGTTCTCTTGGTTTTCGCCAGTCTCAAAGGTAACTTTTTTGTCATCACGTTTAACCAGTTTAGGGTAGGATTCAGGGACGTGGAAGGCATTGATTGGCATCACTAGCTAGCTAATGTTATGTCCTTGATTTGTCTTTCATTAGATCTGCTTCAGCTTCCTTCAAAACTGCTTCCACCATTGAAAAAGACGATGTAGATTCTCCTTCAAGCGAAGAAGCAGAGCCTGAAGATTTTAACAAAATTGGCAGCAGTTCGGTATGGACTATCCCTTACACTGTTATTCGTTTGTCTTGTGGAATAATTATGCATTTTGCTTATCATGATTCTTGTTTTATATCAATTAAAGGAGGAAGATGAGAACACTAGAGGCAAAGGACGTAAAAGAACAGCTACTACTAAGAGAGGCAGAGGTAGAGGTTCAGGGACTTCAAAGCGCGGTAGAAAAAACGAAAGCTCTTCTTCACTTCATAGGCTGCTCAGTAGCAAGGACGATGACGAGGACGAAGATGATGAAGACATAGAAAAGAAGCTGAACAGATCTCAGCCTCGGGTTTGTCATTCACATCTATTTCCTCTGGGTTTAAGTTCTTATTTACAATATGATATATGCTCACTTAATAGTATGATTTGTAAATGCAGGTTACAAGGAACTATGGAGCTCTAAGAAGATGATAGATCCATATCAACCCTGAGCTCTGACGTTACAGCTCACGACGAAGCTTCATTTCTTTTTTTTCATTTCTAACGACCTCTGATGCGAAATAACTTTGAAGTAGAGAATCCAATACTAATTCGAGTGTTGTTAGATGTACAGAGAATTTTTGTAGTGTACTTTTTTCTTGCTCTTTAAAGTTTTGTTCTTGATGAATGAGGCAATATAACTGAACGGTTTTATTTGGTGAAGTAGAGTTAGTAATATGTAAAAATGCGATTAACTATAAAAGATAAAAGGAATAAACAAAAAGCGGGGATAGCTCAGTTGGGAGAGCGTCAGACTGAAGATCTGAAGGTCGCGTGTTCGATCCACGCTCACCGCAATTCTTTTGTCTTTTACTTGTTTTTCAATGGTTTTATACTTTTATCTCAAAGCCGTTTTACAATTTACACTACTTGATAAACTATTACGTAAAAAAGAAGTATAGAAACGGACAAAGGAAATATGGATAAAAAGAGATGGAGTTGGAGATACTTCAAATCCAAAGCTGATTCCTGATTGGCTAATCCAAACATCTCACTCTGTATCTATATCCCCTCTCTGATTCTTCCTCCTCTCTTCTCATCCACAAAACACTAACATAAAAGTCAAACTCCCTCACATCAATCCTTCACCAAGTAGCAAAAGAAGAACAAGAACACAGAAAAAAAACGCTCAATCCGAGAGAGAGCAATGGCTTCAACATTCACGAGCTCAAGCAGTGTTCTGACCCCAACACCATTTCTTGGCCAGACTAAAGGCTCAAGCTTTAACCCTCTTCGTGATGTTGTCTCTCTCGGATCTCCCAAATACACTATGGTCTGTTTCTCTCTTTTTGTCTTAATTCTCTTTCATATTAAAGGTTTTATCTTTATCCTTGGGGTTGTGTCTGATTTTCAATTTTTTTGTAATTTGACATGTGAAGGGAAATGATCTTTGGTACGGACCAGACAGAGTGAAGTACTTAGGACCCTTCTCCGTCCAAACTCCGTCTTACCTCACCGGAGAGTTTCCCGGCGACTATGGTTGGGACACCGCCGGTTTATCCGCAGACCCTGAAGCCTTTGCCAAAAACAGGGCTCTTGAGGTTAGTCTCTAACTCTCACTCACTCAAAATAAAAATAAAAACAATCGTGTAAACACTAATCACTAGACATCATTCACAGGTGATCCATGGGAGATGGGCAATGTTGGGAGCTTTTGGTTGCATAACCCCTGAAGTTCTTCAGAAATGGGTCCGTGTGGAGTTCAAAGAACCGGTCTGGTTCAAAGCCGGTTCACAAATCTTCTCCGAAGGCGGCTTGGACTACTTAGGCAACCCAAACCTAGTCCACGCCCAAAGCATTTTGGCCGTCCTTGGCTTCCAGGTCATCCTTATGGGATTAGTTGAAGGTTTCCGCATCAACGGTCTTGATGGTGTTGGCGAAGGCAATGACTTGTACCCGGGAGGTCAATATTTTGACCCGCTCGGTCTAGCGGATGATCCGGTTACTTTTGCTGAGCTCAAGGTGAAAGAGATCAAGAATGGAAGGTTGGCTATGTTCTCAATGTTTGGCTTCTTTGTTCAAGCCATTGTTACCGGAAAAGGTCCTTTGGAGAACCTCCTTGACCATATCGATGACCCTGTTGCTAACAATGCTTGGGCTTTTGCAACAAAGTTTGTACCTGGAGCTTGATTTTTATGTCTTGAAGTGATCCCTTTTTAATGATATGAACATAATCTTTTCTTGTTCTTTCTCAAGTTACAAAACTCTATTTGCTATGCACAACAAAAGTTCCAAAAAATACATGTATTTCAGCTGAATCTACAATGCTCTCAATCTAACATTTGGGATTGTCATACTAATACAAACCTAAGTGGAGCAATCGAAATCCCTAGCCTCTTTTGCCCCACCATTTCCGGTGACGACTTTTATCACCATCTACTCTATGGAGTCTTGCTTTAGTCTCTCTTAATCTAGCTTTGTAATCTTTCTTCCAAGTCTCAAACCTTAGCTTCAGTCTCCTGAATTCATCCTCTGGATGTTGCTGTTGCTGCCCATTTGGAGTTGCCTGCGGTCCCAGCTTCACCTCTACAATAGCTCTTGCATCTTCGTCGAAATTGAGTCTCCTTTGATCAAACTCTCTTGCGAGATGATTAACCGCATTCAAACTTCCATTGAGCTCTCTGACTCTGAGCTCTGGAGTGTTTCCGTTAGTGAATTTAGTTGTGGGAGTTCTTACACCGGGTGTTCCAGTAGACGTTGTGTCCTCTGAGTCATAACCGAAAGGGGATATCGATGTGTCTTGTCTTCCTCCTGCTTGACCCGTCATGTTCTCTGCAGCTAAACTCTTCCGAGCAGCCGCAAGACTCATCTGCAAAAATACGAATACAAAATTGTAACTTTTAAGAAAATTTTGGTGTGATGCAGTGAGTGAGAAGGACATTGATGATCAGTGAAACACGCAACCTGCAACGACGACATTTGCTTTTGCCATGTTTCCTCCATTGACTTCATCTTCATTTCATACTCCGACCATCTCTCCTCAAACTGCCTCAACTGCTCTCTCAATGCTGTGTTTTCCTCTTCCTTCTGCGCTAAAGCTGCTTCGGATTTCAAAACCCGCTTCTGGAGATCAGACATAGCTGATGGTTGAACTTGGAACTGCTCCAACGGAAGATCCTACATCGCAAACGAGAGAAAGTTATAGCGTAAATTGTGTAATAACGTTTGATTCAGAAGAGGACAATCTTCCTTTTAGTAGTAAGTACCTTGTCTTCTGAAATCCTCCTGCCCGCTTTCCTTTTTGATTTTGTCGTCACATTGAGTAATTCTTTCTGTCTTTGCATACTCTTGAGTCGTTTTCGAGCCAACCATCCTCGAACCGCTGCAAAAGAATGATGAGCCTTAAAATCCATATCCATGTTTGAGAACCAAAATCTCTAGTTTACCAAATAATATAGTGTGGTCTACCAGATTGCAAGTGTGTGACTGCAGTCAACTCTCCTGTGCTTGCTTGAGAAACAGAATCCACATGGATCTTTGTTTCATAAATTCTTCGAGCATTTTCACCTCGTACATATGACTGAAGTACAAATGCTGCGTTTCTCATATTTTGGAAGTATTCACGAGACAAGTAACCGCGGAGATGCTTTTGTAAGCCCACTATGCCTTTAAGAACTTTTTTTCTCCTATCTTCAAAGATACCAATCTATAAAAAAATTCGAAGATGTGAGCATAAGAAATGTATCGATAAGATCAGGAAACAGCCTCTATATATCTGTGCGTAAGGAATTACTTACTTGTCCAGTTCGGAGGTACAGTTTTGTATAGCCAACTTGGTACATTTCAGGATGAACATCGTATTGTTTCAAAACAGCAATTGATACGCTCAGAGGATCCTGACAGACATTCTTGCCTGACAAAAGGAACCCGTATCTTCCTGCAAACTCTTGATGTGTCAAACGAGTAGGATATCCAGATCTTGATATTCTAACTACCTCCAACACGCCACAACATCTAAGCTGTTGTAGGACAAGATCCTCTTCATAAACTCTGGGAAGCTGCTTCGAATTCGGCTTTATGCATCTAATGAAGTGGGGACTTGTGTTTTCTAACTTGTTCATCAACTTGAAAAGTTGACCCTGAAAGAGATAATTAACCATGAGAGATGCAATGTGAGTTGAGGAAGACTGTCACTGAAAACAAAGAACTGCATAATTCAAGCCTCCTTACCTTAAACTTCGTCCCAACAGTTTGATTTGTGGAGTCTGATAACATAAGCGGCTTCTGAGATTTGTCACGCATTTTAGTAGAAAACAGTTTCAGCAACTGGCAGTCGCATGATGATAAAAGATGGATAAGATCAGCAGGCAGCGGATCCCTGTTCTTTTCCAAAAACCCATTTGTATCATAGAGAACCTGTAACAGAAATCATCATTTAAAGAAAAACCAACCATAAGTACAAGAAAAGCTGCACATAACCAGATCCATATATGAACCTATTCAGTATGCAGAGTCCGGTTTTTTGAACAAAGGGCATCAACTGACCTCTCCGGCATAATGATTAACTCTGAAGGCTCGACCTCTCTCTCCCTTGAAGCAAGAGTTGGTCTTCAAGTGTTGCTTGAGCTTGTTGGCAAATGTCAAATCAGTTGCTTTTGGAAAATTTGATTCCTCATCTAGTAGAGACAACAAACCAATGGGTTTCTGCACAAGCAAAATTATGCAAGAGATTACTTTTTGAGAAAATATTAAATGGACAACAAATACAAGCGTGGCAGGCTATTAATTACCTTCTCAATTAGATCTAAGCACTCTTGATTGTCTTCAAACTCGACCTTAGTCCAATCAATTCCATCCTCTTCATATTCCTGACCAGAGAAGATAATATTTAATGTTACATCAAAGCTTTTCGCACACATTATTATATCATTTAGACCAAAAGAAAAATCACCTCTTGTTCAAGTTTAAATAAGTGCCGGTTGAAGTGTTGCTGCAATCTTTCATTTGCATAGTTTATACAGAATTGTTCGAAGCTATTATTCTGAAACCAAGGAGAAACAAATCATCATCGCAGGATTCAAAAAGAATATTCATAATAATCTAGAGCATATATGCTTACTACTAACCTTAAATGATTCAAATCCATATATATCAAGGATGTTTATAGATCTCCCTGTACGTGATTTACCGACTTCCAGTGCAATGTTTATTTGCTCAACAAGCCAGTCGAAAAGGCTTGCATAAATAAATTTTGCTATTCCATCTCTCATGTCGGTCGCCTGCAGGTAAAAACGGTACAGAAACTCATACATCACCTTATGATCGATGTACATGAAAGTAAGTATGGAAACTGATGATTTTAAAACATTACCTGCCGCAAAGTCAGTTTTTTAGCAATGCAATCTGTACCAGCTAGAAGTTTACGGGTAGACAAAACCACTATAAGCTCTTCTGAGTTGCAGCCCATTAACATAGCGGCATTGTTGACAGCTAAAAGAAACAACAGCCAAATGATAAGCAAGCATCACCAAGTCACAGTTTTTGATGAATTAAGACAGTAGATTCTACCTTCATCCGCTACCACCTCCACATGATTTTCATTGTCAATAACTCGGAAAGATACATTCCCTAGCCACAACACCGCTGCAAGCAATGCAAATACACGCTCTTGATGCTCTTTAGGAATTTGAACAATGTCAAAAGCTTCCTACAGAAGTGTAGAGATGAATGTGAGAAAAAGAAAAAATAACAAAAAAAACTTGGCATACAGAAGCAAGAACAGGGAAGGTAAACAGAAATTTACCAGTAGTTTGTGAAATTTCTGAGCATCATCAACACCGGTGATGGTCAAGCAATCACTCTGGTTCAGGTAGGTATACTCACTTGCTGTTTTAAGCTTCAATCTCTCTAAAAATAAAACCATTAAAATGATAGTTAAGCCAAAAGAATTAAGAAGTATTTTATGTTTGTCTGTGTTCTACTTCAGCAAGGCACTTCTAAAGAAAGTTATATGCAGCCAACGGTAACAAATCTTGAGATTTCAGTTTGAAATGTTACCTTTAAGAATCAGCGAAGCACCTGCACACAACTCATAAAATATATGGTAGGATCTTTCGCCATTGAACAGCTGAACCACTCTCGACTGGTCAAAGGAGGCTACCAATTAGTGACTGATGGCTAAGTTGTGTAAGTCAAATGAATAAGATTCTCAACGGAAACAAAGTTACCTTCTCTAGAAGAACTATGGGTGTTTACCAAAGAGTAGGTATTCAAAACATGGAGAAGAAGACAAAAGAAACGAGTAAATTCCACATCCAAACAATATGACAAACAATCATATGGATGCTCAGATTATACTCACAAGTTTCAAGTCTGGCTCCACAGATCTTTCCCATTGCACTAAAATGAATTTCTATGAGTTTACCCTGCGCCAGTTAAGATATAATGTTTAACAACTTAATATGGATGAATTTTGATGGCTGGCACATTAATAATAACTTGACGGAATAGGGAATGGAGAAAATTGGATTAAAAAAAAACTAGTACAAAACAACTTACAAATCTGCTTGAGTTAGCATTTCTTGATGTTTTAGCATTCCCAAAAGCTTCGAGTATGCAGGTTGTCTTTAGGATTTCGTACTCAACTCCACAGCTACCTCCACCAAGAGCTGCTAAATATTGCATTGCAAATTTTGCAGTCTCAGTTTTCCCAGCTCCACTTTCTCCGCTGCAGAACATTAATAATCAATTTCCCGTTGACTTAAATATCAGAAAACCACATCAGGCATACAAAAAGCATCCAGAAGTATACAGAATTCAAAGTGCAAAGACCCATACCTTATAATAATAGACTGGTTCTTCTCTTCTGCACGTATAAATGTTCAAAATGTAAGTGCTAGATACTCACTGGAAGACCGATTAGGATTTCCCGAATCATGCAATATAAACATCGTGATTATAAATGCGTCCTCTCACCTCTCATCATCTCATCATAAGCTGCATCCGCTACAGCATAAACATGAGGAGCATCCACAGCCTTCTTCTGATAAGCTGAGATGAAATCATTTCCATAAATTTCGACATTCTTGAACGGATTGACTGCAATCAATACTGGCCCTGCTTTACTCTATAAAAAGAGAAAACATGAAAGCTAGTTAAGAACTAAGCAAAAACTGTGACAAACTAATCAGAAGAGTTGGAATTTACAGTAAACTCACATAAATCACGTCTTGCGAATATCTGACACGAAGGTTGTATAGAACAGATGGTTCGTTTA